CATCATGTGAGGCAAAGGCTCTTCCAAAGTAAACGTGTATTTAAGTGGTACATTGCCATGAAGCATGTCACATGCATGGTTATGCAGGCTGAACATATGGCTCCTGACCTGAAACGTGGCCATTTTACACTGTTACTGGCAAAGTTAAGATTCATTTTGTGCTTATGCGTTCCCATTCCTGCACTGTGGGTTCAGATAAAATACAGGAAAAATGCAGAAATGTTTCTAGTTTATTACAGGTAATCTGTACAAATTGTATTTTATTCTAAAGTTTGATGTTAGTAGTTGCTGTATTTTGTAGTAGGCTGCTGCCCAGATAATCAATTATTCATATCACACACTATGAGAGAATTCATATCACGCACTATGAGAACCTTCATGCCTGTCTAACTAGTCTTGTCTGATATTTTTTTTTTTTCTTTCATATTTGTCGCAATGTCCCCCGGTGCTAGTTCAGCTGCTGTGGTGGTATCTCATACAAGGACTGGTCCCAAAATATGTATTTCAACTGCTCTTCAGAGAACCTCAGCCGGGAACGTTGTTCAGTTCCGTATTCATGCTGTCTACACGAAGAGGACCAGGTGAGCTCTAAAGTAGAGATGGAGAGAATCTGTATATAAAACTTTTATATTTATAAAGTGACTACTTACCATTGTGTATTACACACACATTCATAATGACTTGTACTTAATGAAATATACCTGAACTCACAATATATGTTACCACCTTTACTCTAGCAGAATAGAATTGCAAGGTTTTATTAATTGTTAGTAAATTATGACCCACCAAGCTTGCTGTGCATGTTAGATCCAGATGTGATATTCCTCTTCAGTGATTTGAAGTGGTCATGGTGCTCGGATCCTGTATGCCGGAGTCACCTGGTGCTGTCCTTCCATTCATAATTCAACCATTTTTAATGCTAAACAAGAGTCTGCAGCAGCAAATCCCCTCTGTGCTGCTTGGGCTATTGAGGAAGCATCAGCCTGAACATCAATTGACAGCTGTGATTGCTAGAGTGTGTCAACTTCTTTTCCTCATTCCTTAAACTTGCTCAATAATGGTTTAACATTGAATGGAGAATAATTCCCCAATATAGTGGACAAGACCAGTCGTATTGGGTAAAACAAGAGAACTGTTTATTATATAGAAAACACATGTATTTATACCCATACACACATCAGAGGGTATTTAGCCAGAACAATACAAACAGCTCCCTGGTCTCTTGGTGTCTGCGTTATAATTAGATTAAGATGGATAATTTAATTAACCGCTGGACCAGAAACATTGCACAAGATGTTACATAATATAATAATTAAAACAATAGCTTTCATCCAGCTCAACATTTTACAGAATAACTCAACAATAACACAATGTACCCCCACATGCTATACCTCGTTTTAAGCCGTAATTGGGCCCATAGTTTGTAAGCAGAAGGCTGCAGCATTGGGATTTCCATGGAATTGTATAAGATGGAGTTTTAAGTTTAAACATTTATCATTTAAGGTTTTTTTATATTTTGTCAACAAATTATACATAAGGTGAAAAATAGAATACAAAAAAGAAGGCACAATAGGCGTATTGTATAGGTATAAAGAGATATAAGTGAATGTACATAGTGATAAATCTGTTTCTTTTTGACCATAGCTATCTGTAAGTACTTTTAAAAGGCCCAATGCAAATCAAAGGATGAGTGAGAGAAAATTCTAAGTTAACATACTTTTCTCTTTCTAAAATACAGAATTAGAGGCTTTCTCCATGTAAAAAAAAAAAATGATCTTGGAGAGAATGAAAAGCTTGAATTAATTGGCATAGACTTTGTATTGCGCTTTCATCTGTCCTGCAAGGGTATGCTTCCTTACAGGGCAGTCATTAATATGCCAGACAAACTCCACATTGAGATATATTGCTGGAAATCTCTGTTGCCAAATGACTTAAAATAGCACTTTTATTCCCTTTAGTGCCGGAGGAGTTATACAGTATTGAAAGGATTTAACTGACTGTTAATAATATGTGCGGCCAGCAAGCAATATGTTATTGTCATATACAAAAAAATACATTGCCCACACAATGAAGGTCTAACTTTTTAACCTATGTACAGAGGGTAGAAAGGTTTCATAAAGTGAATGTATGATTTTTATATGTACGGTGCCCGCATAATGCATTTAAAAAGGATTTGTGCATGAATCTACTAATTAGAATACTATTTAAATAATCTGTTATCCTAGTCTATGACCCTGAGGTATGGGGCAGGGGTTATACAGTGCCTTCCACTCATTTTGGCACCCTTGGTATATATGTGCCAAGAAGACTGTGAAAATGTGTCTTTATTGTTTGATCTTTTGTTCAAAAAATACTCTGCTCTCATGGATATTAAACAATTGCAAACACAAAACCGGTTTATCCAAAATATATATTTGAGGCACAATTATTGGCACTCTAATGAATTCATATAAGAAAAAGCAAGCGCTTACTCACCTCCCAGCAGCTCCTCCAGCTCCCCAGTGCAACTCTCGCGAGACCCGCGGCCGTCAGAGCGTTGCCATGGATCACCATGGCTACGCTCCGCGCGACACGCTGGCCGTGAGAGTTGCACTGGGGAGCTGGAGGAGCTGCTGGGAGGTGAGTAAGCGCTTGCTGCCCGCCCCCCCCAAAGCTCAGCCAATACCACTGGACCACCAGGGATTGCTATATCCTCCCTCCCTGGCCAGGTAACAAGCAGGGAGTGGGGACAACAAAAATAAATAATAATTAAATATAAAAATAATAATTTAATAAAAAATGCCCCTTCACACACTCCATTATATACACATACACTACACAAACACACTGTATATAATTCAGTGTGAGTGTGTGTGTGTGTGTGTGTGTGTGTGTATACAAGGCACACAAATACACACACTGCATTATATACACACACACTATACAAACACACTGCATTATATACACACACTATACAAACACACACACACTGCATTATATACACACACTATACAAACACACTGCATTATATACACACACTATACAAACACGCTGCATTATATACACACACTATACAAACACACACACTGCATCATATACACACACTATACAAACACACACACTGCATTATATACACACACTATACAAACACACTTGTATATAATGTAGTGTGTTTATATAATGCAGTGTGTTTGTGTAGTGTGTGTTTGTGTAGTGTGTTTATATAATGCAGTGTGTGTGTGTAGTGTGTGTATATAATGCAGTGTGTTTGCATAGTGTGTGTATATAATGCAGTGTGTTTGTGTAGTGTGTTTATATAATGCACACTACACAAACACACTGCATTATATACACACACTATACAAACACA